AGTATATTCCTGCTGCTATGCTCTTCTTATTCAAGCATCACATCTGTATCCATAGAGATTTATGGTACAGTTTAATTCATTTAAGATTTTTACTGTATTTGACTCTCTGCTTTCTTTCACATATAGTGCCACTCCCCAACCAGCATGACCTACTCTCATTCCTGTATCTTTTGTTACCATGTCCCCTTGATTATCATTTTTCCACCAAGCTTCTGTGATGCCTATTATATCAATATCCTCATCTAATACCAGGCACTCAAGTTCACCCATCTTAGTATTTAGACTTCTAGCATTTGTATTCAAGCACTTATTTAATCATCTGCCTTCGTATGATGTAATTGAAGGGGATTCTTTTTTGTTTGAATATTCAGTTCCTACCTGTACTTTATCAACTTCTATCCTCTCCTCTTTACTAGGATATAGAGTATCCCTTTAATAAATCCTTTCCATAGAAAGGATCTGAGTGAACCATGAGCTTCTCCACAGATGTTGACTCCCCCCCCCAACAATTAGAAAACTCTGATCTTTTTAATTTTACATGCCAGCAATCTGGTTCCATTTTGGTTTACGTGAAGACCATCCTTCGTGTGTAGGCTCCTTCTTTCCCAAAAGATTTCCCAGTTCCTAATAAACCTAAATCCCTCCTACCAACACTATTGTCTCATCCACACATTGATACCCTGCAGTCCTGTCTGTCTAACTGGCCTTGCATGTGGAACTAGAAGCAATTTCAGAGAAAGCTACAATGGAGCATAGTTGAAGACAGAAGTGGAACGGTTGTAATATATGGACACCTGGCACTATTACTGTATTTTTTAAATCAACAATCAAATATGATTGTAAGCCCCCTTTGGGGGTCATGACTTATTCCTCTGAGGGGCACTGCATAGTCAGTGTTTGACAGAGGAATGAAGTCCTTTGCATCAGCACAAAGTGTTGCCTTGAAGAGGAAGTTGCTCTTGCAGCCTGTTGCTCCTCCCTTTTTCTCCAGCCAAAGCAATACTGAATGAAAGACAGAGAGTGGCAGGGAGCAAACAGCAGAATTAAAAACAGGGTCCAGTTTTAGAACTGGCAGAGGGAAGGCTGAACAAGAGATCTCTTGACAGCCCTTTGGCCTCACCCAGCTGCCCCCCTTCCTCAGTTGGCTCCTATCAAAAATTTCTATCTTAGGAGAGGAGAAGAAGCGAAAGGCTCCAAAGCTCAGACTGCATACTTGTGGGCTGACCAGCATGCTTGAATTTCTGAGATGCCCCAATAGATCAGCATCTGTACTGTAGCAGCTGTTGTGAGTACCCCAGGGGATGTTCCAGCAACCATGGTCTAAGCAGTTAGTCAAAGAATCTTCGGGAGAATGACGGTTGTGATGCTGGATTTTGTTTTATATTAGGTTTAGAAGCCTTAAAATTTTGGCCCCAAATTGCTGCATTGGACTGTGTGTTTGCAAGAGTCATTCAGCTTGTTGTTACTGTCTGGCTTGGATTCCTAAAAATAGTTTAAGGGTGCTCCTCATCATTGACTGCACCCACCCACTTGGTAATATGGGGTCAAAATATAGAGGAGTTCTCAGAACAATTAGCTGAGCATTCATTTTCTAGCAGGACACACAAGTCCCCAGGTACAGGGGGGACTTGTGTGTCCTGCTGGAAAATGGGTACACAGGAACATAGCCAGCTGAGGATGTGCTGACTGGCAAACGCATCAAATTTCTGTCTGTTTCATGGAGAATTTTCTTTTCCCTCTTGCCCCCAACAAACACAGAGCTCCAGTTGGGGCAGCAGTACAGTGTCCCAGGACCTCTCCCATGCTGCTGTTTGTACTCCACAATCTCAGCTTTCATACAAAAAAAAAAAATTGTCTCCAGCTGTTACAGTTTCAGAGAAAATCTTGAAAATATGCACTGAGTGTAAGCAGTTCATATGTTTTCACATAGCCTGAAACAAGATCTTTGAGATGTGTGAACAGCCTAGCTTATTTCAGCGAGGTCTTTTGATTTCTTAAAGAACTGGATATATTGTTCACTGAAATTATTATGAAATAGGATGACACCCATTGTGTACATCTGCTCACAGGAACCAAAGGCAGTGCTGATACCACTGTCTGATTACCAGATTTAATTACAACTAAACAGATGACACCACAGTCAAGATTAACATTAATCTGACCTATAAATCCAGGCCCTTCATACACATGCAGGTAGGATTGGGGTAGAGGGATAGCTCAGTGGTTTGAGCATTGGCCTGCTAAACCCAGGGTTGTGAGTTCAATCCTTGAGGGGGCCATTTAGGGATCTGGGAGAAAAATTGGGGATTGGCCCTGCTTTGAGCAGCGGGTTGGACTAGATGACCTCCTGAGGTCCCTTCCAACCCTGATCTTCTATGTGATTCTCTGCTATGTTCAAATGATTATTTTGATGCCTGAATGGATCAAGCTACCCAAACCATCAAAGGTAGCATGCTCTGATAGAAGCAAAAATAGCTGTGAGAGAATCTTTGCAGAATCGCCATGGATGTCATCTGTATCCTCAGGAAGAGCAAATCGGATGCTACTACTAAAATAAGTACTTACCCATGCTTGAAAGCACTCTTGGCAATGCTGGAAGTGCAGAAGGGGAAAACTTTTTATAGCAGCTGAGGATTGTTACTAAGCAGGTAAGAGAGAAATCATCCCTATTTGATTTATCTGGAAAATCTGCTACAACCTGTGTGCTAGTTAGAAGAGGTGTGTCCACAGCTAGACAGAAATGAATGAGACTGAGTCAGGTCTTGAGAGGAGTCCTTTATTCTGATCTTCTGCTAATCTATTTTGGTTTGATAGTGAAGGTAAAAACCATCTAACATTTTCCCATCTTCTGAGAGAAGTCTTGAAGGCCTCACAAACTCTTTCTTCCTAGAACACTTTCTGCTTACCTACAGTCAAGGCCCATCTCTTTGATGCCCTATGCCAGTGGCTCTCAACCTTTCCAGTCTACTGTACCCATTTCAGGAGTCTGATTTATCTTGAATTTTCACCTGCTTACATAAGAATGGCCATACTGGATCAAACCAAAGATCCATCTTGACCAGTATCCTGTCTTCTGACAGTGGCCAATGCCAGGTGTCGCAGAGGAAATGAATGAACAGCACAGGTAATCATCAAATGTTCCATCCCCTCTTGCCAATTCCCAGCTTCTGGCAAACAGAGGCTAGAGACACCATCCCTGCCCATCCTGGCTAATAGCCATTGATGGTCCTATCCTCCATGAACTTATCTAGTTCTTTTTTTTGAACCCTGTTATAACATCAGACATAAAAATACAAAAGTGTCACAGTATAGTATTACTGAAAAATTGCTTACTTTCTCATTTTTGCCATATAATTATAAAATCAATTGGAATATAAATATTGTATTTACATTTCAATGTATAGTGTATATAAAGCAGTATAAACAAGTCATTATTTGTATGAAATTTTAGTTTGTACTAACTTCGCTACTGCTTTTTATGCAGCCTGTTGTAAAACTAGGTAAATATCTAAATGAGTTGATGTACCCAGGGTTGAGAACCACAGTCTTAGGCCACAGGATGAGGACCCAGTAACTGCTCACTTGCAAGCTCACCCACCCAAGCTTCTGTTATTAGTGGGAGGAACATGAATACTTGTCTAGTAAAACTAAGGAAATACTGAGAAACTGACACCACTGAAACTCCAAAGGCACCCAATGAAATAACAAAATGGGACTTCTATTAGAGCTACACCCTATGTAGAACATCAATAAGTGATCTGTAGCTCACGCTCAAATAAATTGGTTAGTCTCTAAGGTGCCCCAAGTACTCCTTTTCTTTTTGCGAATACAGACTAACAGGGCTGTTACTCTGAAACCTATGGGGATACTGTATTTATTGCAATTGTAAAACATCATCTAAAGCTGGGAGGGAGAATGGGGAAGGAATCTGAGTTGCTTTAACTAAAAGATAATTTAGTAATCTCAAATTATACTATTAAGAGCTCATTATTTCCTTGATTTTAACACTAGAAATTATCACCCATAATGCCAGGGTCACAATCAACACAACAGCACTAATAACAACCCCCCTCACTGTTAAAGTTCTGAATGGGCTTTTGATGGGAGATAAGGGAGACTGATGTGGCATTTTTCTGCGACTGTTTTCCAAAGCACTATTTTGTCATTTTATGGGAAAAAGAACCAAGGGCTGCCTGAAGCTACCATTGTCCGAAGCAGTAATGTGGATCAGAACTTGTAACCGAGCTTGCTTTCTTCATCAATTTGTAAAAGCTTGTGCGTGTAGTGACGACTTGTTGCTTCCCTTACGGAGTAAGCAGAGGGAGAGATGTGGTTTATTCCAAGAGCCATAACTGGAGGGGACAGATAAATAGATTGAAACATGGATGGTTTACACACTCCAGCTCCGGAAGAGGGGGCCACGCCGAGCACACCGGGACGCAATCCAAGCATACGGGCAGATACTCAGGGTGGGTTTGACTCTGTCCCGCTAGACGTGTCTCTCTCAGTGTCCAGCCCAGAATGCAAAATCCGGCGGGTTATTCGTGTGTCCCTCGGCATCTGCTCTCAGCACCCCCCCCGCCGCCAGCACGCGCAGCCTTCTCCCCATTCCCCGCCCCGCTCCGGGCCCGGGGCGCCTCAGCCAGGCAGCTGGCCGGGTAAGGGCGGCAGCAGCCCTGCTGGGGCTTCCCTGCGCTACTGGGCCTGTGCAGCCGCGGTGCACACGCTCATCGGGGCCCCAGCGGCCGGGCGCCTCGGCATCTGCGGCGCCGGGGCGGGCAGCTCCTGGGGCGGGGCGGTTAGAGCGGTCCCCGGCCCCGCTCCGCAGCCCCGACCGGCCGGGGCCAGCGCCAGGGAGCGGCGGCGTGGCTCGGAGGGCAGGCGGGCGGCGACAGGCTGTGCCCCACTTTGTGTCCAATCAGAGCGTGCGGGGTGCGCGCGGAACAGGGCAGCAATGCGTAAACAAGCCCGGGAAACTCCTCCGCCCCCCGCGCCGCTCCCTCGCACTCCGCTCCGCCGTGCTCTCCCCCGGCTGGCTCCCGCAGCCGCCTCCTCCCCCGCCCGTCCGCCCGCTCCGGAGCGCCCTACCGTTACCTGCCGCCCGCCCGCGCTCCCCCCCAAGCTCAGGGCCTCTTGAGGGAAGGTAAGGGACCCGTCTGCCCGCACGCCCGAGCAGGGGGCTGGGGAGCCCGGTTCTGGGGCGCAGGGGGGCGAGCAGGTGTCGTAACAAGTTGCTTAACGTGACATTGCTGTTGAATCATGTTGCAGGGAAGAGCAGCAGCGAGGCAGGAGGGAGGTGACGGGCTCCAAGGGACTGGAGCAGAGAGCCACAGAGTAACTTTCTCCCTCATTTCCCTTTAATTAGAGAGCCTGTTTCAGGGCGGGCAGAGGCTGAGCGAGCTGAGATGTCTGGCTGGAGAGAGGGGGAGAGAGAGAGACCCTGAAATGCGTTTGGAAGAAGCTGCTGCAGTTTGTGGTGCTTGTAGCTGGGGACTGAGAGCAGCAGCAGCACATTCGCTGTTTGGTAACAAGCAGGTTTGCATTTGGCTGCTGCGTGTGCTTCCACCAAGGATTTTCCTAGCAAAAGAGCCTGGGTGGCTAGTTAGTGAGCAATAGGTTCTGGTTCAGACCATCTGTTTCTAGGGTAATTATCTCTAGTTAATGCTCCATGGCAGCGTCGTTGGCTTCCGTTTTGATTAGGTTGGATTATTATATAAGGAGGAGAGACAGAAGTCCTCTGTTGCACAGAGAGCTACTCCTGTGCATTTCTCTCTCCAAGTAGTTGGGGATAGGGGGACTAGTCATGGCCCAAAGGATGTAGCCAGTGCAGAACTGGCAGACACACCTGTCTGAGCCCCCAGGCAAAACTGATGAGCTCTTTTTATGCATACTGTTGGGTGTGTTTTCCAATGGTTGTGGTGGAAGTGAAATACAGCCCTTTGTATTTCCTCATTGCACATTTTTTTCCTCTTACTCTGCATATTTCTCACTTTAAAAAATAAATGTTTGAGCACAAAAGTTTAAGAACTTGTTTTTTGCTTTATTATTGAGCATGTTTAGTATGTTAGTATGATCTGGAGATGACTGAATGAATCATCATCTCTATGGAATAAAGGCTGGTGAATCATCTTTCTCACACACATGTGTGCATGCATACACACACACAAAATACATTGTTGTTGACAGTGAAGGATCAGTATCTGAAACAGTGGGAGGGGGATAGGATGTACTTTGCACTCAAAAACCCACCCCGGTTTCCTGAGGCTAGGTCATGAGCTGAGAAAGTCTTGCGACACTAAACTGTTATTTTCTTGGCACGGTCAGAAAAGAGTGGTAACCTGTGCCTTTATGAACTAACCAACCCTTTGATTTCCTTACTATCTTAAATGATATTAAGGTTGCCAATATCTCATCATTGATATTTGGGGTGCAGGACAGGAAGCAGTATATTTTAAATCAGATTTGAACAGGGAAAAATATGAAATTGTATAGTTATATATCTGTAAAACATAGGCCAAGGACATTCTTTGTTAAATACAAAGATTTTTTAAAAGGGTTTTGGTTGTAGGCCAAAATAATTGACCTATTTCAAAATAAAAGTTTGTTCCAAGCATTCTATATTTTGGGGAAAAGCTGAGCCAATTTACTCAATAAATGTGCTACAGTTGCACTCTTACATAAACTACAGTCTGATACTGCTCCCTTTAAAGTTGATGGCCACTGGCTCCACTGAGACTATTACTGGGTCCTTAGTATACAGCTTCTCTCTGGAATGCGATTTGCATACCTTCCCCTTTTCCTGGACTTCTGTCTCCTGTCTTCTTGTATGGAGGCGGTAACATGAAATTTACAATTCCTCTCCTTCCCTGTGATGCCAACTTGCATTCAAGAATGAAGCAGCCAAGTATAGCAGGGGAAAATGCTGTACAGGTGAGTCGCATCATACACGCATTTAACTTATGCGAATTCAACTATACGCACTCGGCAAATAAAAAAGAAAAATAACAAGATACCTATAAATAGTGCAGGTGATTCCACTCAATGACCGTATGCCCCGGAGTGAGCGTGAGATGGGAGACGTGAATCTGTCGTTCCCTCAGTTGGTCTCAGTTCCTGCATGCCTCTCATAGTGTGAGCATCTCGCCATGCTGAGTGTGATTCTAGGCTTTAAAGATACTGTACGTATTTTTCATACAACATGGCCGCTAAACAAGAGCCAACTAGTTCATCTGGTGCCCAGCCGAAGAAACAGCAATCTGTTCCAACACTGGAGGAAAAACTGGCTGTGTTGAACTTATTGAGAATAGATATGTCGGTCTCCAACGTGGCGCGTAAATATGGCCACAACGAATCTAGCATCCGTGCCATCAAGATTTGAGAGAGAGAAATTCGTCAAGCCGTGGCATCAAGTGCTCCAATAACTGCTAAGATGATGAGCCAGGTGCGTGATAAGACTTTAGTGAAGACTGAAAAGGCATTAAACTTATGGCTGGAAGATGTGAACCGTAATGCGTGCCTATCAATGGCAACACGTTGTGAGAAAAGGCTCTTAGCCTCTATGCGCTGTTCAAACCTCCTGCCGAAGAGGGACAGCCTTCTGATGAGAAGGAATTCAAAGCCAGCCAAGATTGGCTTAACAGTTTTAGGAACCGCTTCAACCTCAAAAATGTGCAGACTACTGGTGAAGCTGCATCTGCCAATGAAGAGGCAGCAAAAGCCTACCCCAAACAATTAAAGAAAATCATAGAAGAAAAGGGCTATCTTCTGGAACAAGTTTTTAATGCTGATGAGACTGGGCTCTTCTGGAAAAAAAATGACCAACCGCACTTACACTTTGAAATCAGAAAGACAAGCCCCTGGCTTCAGAGCAGCTAAAGACAGTGTGACCGTGTTGTTTTGTGGCAATGCGGCTGAGCATTTAATAAAACCGGGCTTGTTCTACAGGGCTGCAAATCCCTGTGCCCTAAAAGGCAAGAACAAAAATCTCCTGCCTGTGTTCTGGCAATCAAATAAAAAGGCTTGGGTAACAGCAGCATTATTTCTGAATTGGTTCCACAAGTGTTTCATTCAGGAGGTCATGCGGTACCTTGTAGAGAAAGGACTTGACTTTAAAGTGTTGCTGATCATAGACAATGCTCCTGGCCACCCTGCGGCACTCTGGTTTGCGCATAACCATGTTGAAGTCCTCTTTCTCTCCCCCCCCCATACCACCTCAAACCTCTCAACCAAGGCGTGATTTGCTGTTTCAAGGCCACATACACGAGGCTTACATTCTCACGGATACATAGCACTATGGATGCTGATCCCAATCTTAATGTGATGGAGTGTTGGAAGTCCTTCAACATTGCCGATTGCATCCATTGCCTGTTTAATATAAGTGATGCAATCAAGCATGAAACAGTCAATGCATGTTGGCGAAACCTATTGAAAGAACGTGTGAATGATTTTAAGGGTTTCCCAACCATTGACAAAGAAGTGAAACGCATTGTTCAGGTGGCCAGACAAGGGGGTGGTGATGGCTTCGTCGACATCCTTGAGGAAGAAATTGAAGAATTATTTGAGAGCCGTAGAGAAACCTTGACTAACGAAGAGTTGTAGGAACTGATAAAATCATCTACAGAAGATGATGACTAAAAGGAAGAGCCAGCAAGTAGGAATCTTCATAAATTTGCTGAAATGTTCCAAGCAGCGAAACACTTGAATGATTTAATTTCTGAATACGATCCCTCTGTGGAACGAAGCCTCAAAATCACATGTAGTATTATGGACAATTTGAGACTGTATCAAGAAACGTTCGAGCAGCTTAAGAGACAACAGCGACAGTTGCCGATCACCGTGTTTTTCAAGGAAAAACAACCAGCAGCAGATGAGCCTACGCAATCAACTTCTCGAGCTGAACCAGAGCCAACCACTTCGTCTATGACTAGCTCTCCATCACCCAATTCTCCGTCACCTGGATCGACATCACGCCCTGATGACCCTTGTAATTACCCTTCTGTAATTAAAAATACAGTACTGTAAAATTATATTTTGCATATGTACTCTTTTATATACATTTATATATATTACTGTACAGGGTTGTATACACAAAACCATGTACAGTATACTGTGTTTTATGGCCGATTTAAGGGATTTTCAAGGGTAATTTGACTATACGCGATTCTCGCCTTACATGCTGACTTTAGAACCTAACCCCCGCATAAGATGCAACTCCACTGTACACATTCAGGCACCTGCAATACAAAACATAAGTACTGTGTCATAAGTACTGTGGGGTGTGTGTGTGTATATGTTTGTGTGTGTGTGTCCATTTAAACAGTCTCTATTTAAACCCCCACCCTCTTGTCTGGTCGTTGTACATCCTTTATTTCTATGGCCTTACCAAATTCATGGTCCATTTTGGTCAATTTCACTGTCATAGGATTTTAAAAATCATAAATTTCATGATTTCAGATATTTAAATCTCAGATTTCATGGTGTTGTAACTGTAGGGGTCCTGACTCAAAATGGGACTGGGGGGGTCGCAAAGTTATCGTAGGGAGGTTGCCATATTACCACCCTTACTTCTGTGCTGCTGCTGACAGCAGCACTGCCTTCTTCATAGCTGGGTGGTGGAGAGCGGTGGTGGGTGGCTGGAAGCCCAGCTCTGAAGGCTGCACTGCCAACAGCAGCAGTGCAGAAGTAAGGGTAGCATGGTATTGTATTGCCACCCTTACTTCTGTGCTGTTGCCTTCAGAGCTGGGCCTTCAGCCAGCAGCTTCCACTCTTTTATGCCGCACAGCTCTGAAGGCAGCATCGCAGAAGTAAGGGTGGCATGGTATGGTATTGGCACTCTTACTTCTGCGCTGCTGCTGGTGGGGCGCTGCCTTCAAAGCTGGGTGCCCAGCCAGCAGCCGCCACTCTCTGGCCACCTAGCTCTGAAGGCAGCACAGGAATAAGGGTGGCAATACCGTGACGCCCCCCTCCCCCCTCGTAGCCACTTTTTGGGTCAGGAGCCCCAGTTTGAAAAATGCTGGTCTTCCCTGTGAAATATGTATTGTATAGGGTAAAAGTACACAAAAGACCAGATTTCATAGTCCTTGACACATTTTTCACGGCTATGAATTTGGAATCTTATCTCTAATGGGCTGAGCTCCATACCTG